TTACTGAAAAACAGCAATCTATTGGGAAATAGCTTGCCAGAATTTACCTTTCCTCTATGCCATTTACAGTCTGCTTTAGTGACAGGTGTGCTTTTGTGTTACAGATATAATGTTATGAAACATAACTTTTTTTGACAAACATAAGCAGCGCTCAATCAGTCTTTTTTAAAATTAGTTGGACTATTTGCATGATTGAAGTGGAAATACTGGAGTAGGTAGCTGAGTTGGAACCTTAGATATCATCTGGGTCCTATGTCCAGAAAAATATTTTTTGTGTGTTCATACTCCCACCTAAATTAGGCTTGACTTGACTAACACCAACTTTTTGAATACTGAAAATGGTAGTTGTTTGTTTAATCTGATGGCAACTGTTTGATCAAAATCTAGAGGAAGATCAAAACATTTTGTTGCTTAATAGTAATAAAAAGACATGAACTTCAGGAGGGCTGTGATTTTGTAACCAACTCATTAGTTTGTCATATGTGAAAATATGTTCCTGGAATATCAGGAGACTTTAAAGTGCCAAGATAAGAAATTTATTTCTCTAAAAGTATATTCGCATGTTTAAAGGCTGGTTTTATTTGTGTAGATATTTTTCTTCTGTTTGTCACAATGGTTTAGATGCCTTTCCTGTCTTCCTGAGGATTCATGCAATAGCCTCCACATATGACAAACATGCTAGTAATTCTATTTTATTTGAGGATTGTCACCAGAGGAAGACTTAAAATGGTCTTTATTTTCATAAATATCCTTTAAGAGGTACCACCGTCTCAATTTTTTGACAATGATAGACCTGAGTGACAACCATGTAGCTGAATAGATCCCTTTGATTTGATCTTAGCTGTAACCTGGAAATTGCAGCTTTGTAATCTTTGCTTAATGATACATACAGGCTTGATGTAAGTCACACCTCCAATCCAGGAAAGCTCATATTGATTAATTTTGTTAGTGTGTACCTCAAGGATACAAGCAGGGGTCATAAATTGTTAGACCGTCTGCCCTTGGGATATATCATGTTTTCATTCTGAGATGTACTCTACAAAATTATGCATGTTTGTTGCCTATTATTAATTCACTTCCCATCTGTTCAAAATGTGCTTGTACATAGTACTTAGCCTGGTGACCATAAGTGGGCATTCTTTAAAAGCTTAACAGAGCATGTTGCCATCATTTAATGTGTGAGTAAAGAAGAAATTTAACACAGGATTGCCACATCAGTGCATGATATCTACATTGAATTCCTAACAAGGTTTAATTTTTAATGCCTTTCTGAGGTCAGTATTTCACAGATTTGGTTAACAGCGGTTTTTGTTATGTGCATTTTATTTTATTTGGCTAACAATCTGTCATGACCTCATAAGATTTGTGTTTTGTACATGTTATCAGTAGAGTGGCAGAGGACAGTTTTTTCTTTCATCTTTAATTTAGCTCTTTTCTTGCCGTTTTCTATATTCCTTGTTATGAGAGAGTAAAATTTTAGATCTGAGCCCTCTGCTCTTGTCTTCCTAGGGTCTACCTGACAGAGCCAGCACTGAAGTGTAATAGAGCAGCTCAGTGCCTTACTTTTTATCAAGAGTTAGACTTTTTGACCTCTTCTTTCTGTTTGTTAAGTTTCTAATGTTCTTAGTATTTATACCGTGAGGAACAAGACCATCATTTTTGTGTGTATGAGTGAAGAGCAATGAATACAAAAAAAGCATCTTGGGGGCAAGCTTTTTCAGTGCATTGAATTATGCACTGAGATCAAATGTTTATTGCTTTGGTAGAAAATGAAGGAATTCCATGGAAATGAGAGAGCAATAATGCGGAGTTAAGCTTTACAGAGGGACAGAAAAGCTGTATGTGGAAGACTGGAGGAGGATGTGAGAAACAGCAGTACAGCAGTGTTAAGTAAAGCTAGGATTATTTAGAAGATTTTAGAAAAAAAGAATGCCAGGGTTTTGATCCTTTTCAGTTACTGCCTTTTAATGGTTCAGATCCTTTTGTTGTTCTCTTCCTTGGGCATTCAACTCACTTTTCCTACCCCCACTGCTCACTTTACCTGCCACCCACCTCGCACAGTAATACGGAGATTTTATAGCTAATTAGCTGTGCTCATTTGTAGATGAGTTTCGGGAAAAAAGATGAGTAGGTGGTTTGGGCCTGTTTATTTTTCTTATGGTATGTGAAGGTGTTATTTTCTAGCTTTTCCTAGTGATCTCTTGCTATTGTAGTTTCTCCCCTCTGTTATCCTTGTGGTCTCTGGTGTTCAAATGACAGACTGAATAGGCAACATCAATGCTAAAAATCGAATTGGCTCATGTGTCAAAGCATCTGAAAGAGGTGTTTCAACTTTCATGTCTGCTGGCATGGAAAATTCTGTCATCTGACCATGTCCAGACTGCAGCTGGAGTGGGTATCCTTTGGCAGGGCTGCCTAGTGCAGTCAGGTACTTGGGTGTCTCTCCCTCTGTAACCAGAAGGATCAGATGCAGTGTGCTGAAGGATCATAAAGTGGACTAAGGAGCTGTGCCTGCTCTAACTTATTTTTTTGGGTCTTTTTCATATCAAGTAGCTTCAGAAAAGTTTTTGAGATGTTGTGGGTTGGTGGCGGACTCTTCCTTGACTGTACTAGCAGGTTCAGTACCCCTCTAGGGATTCTTTGAGCTAAATGTGTTGCTGGACATGTTTTTTGTCTGTCCAGTCTTCTTCTTCCTAACTGATTTACATATGATAGCTCGTTGTGGTGTAAAGCAGCCCACAATTAGACACTGAGAGAAACTGGGAGATTTACTTCAAATATATATATTTTTTATTCTCAAGCCTCCTCTATCAACACTTTAAATATAAAAAAGTCCTCCAGATGCCTACTTGTAAAGAACATACTGATCTCTCTAATGAAAACTGAAGCCATGGATGAGTAATTTTCCTGCAGCTCTCAATAACTTCTTTAACTATTCCTTCACTGCTCCTTTCATACCTTGATAAGTTATTGCTCCCACCATGTCTCTGAGAGTCTTTCTGCTTCTGATACGCTACAAATCCTTTTCCTATTCATTTGTATACTTGCAGTAAGTGACTTCACTCGCTTTTTTGTGTTTTTACATTTAATTTATCAGACCTTATACAGCCTACTCATTTCTTCATTTGAACACAAATGCCATTTTATCTTCTTTTATTTTTTCTATATTTGGAAATGAGGGGAGAAAGAAATCCTTACAGTGGCTTCGTTAGAATGTACTTACTCTGAGGTCATGCTGTCTTCATGCAGTCTGCCAGCACTTTACCCAGCGAGCTGCACTTTTAACCAACTTCACTGTTATATGTAGCTCATCTTCTGAAATATTTGTAGAAGATGTTTTTACTTATTTTCTCTTTATAAAAATGCTGTGTGGGAATACATTGCAGTCATTATTATGGAAAGGGCTTTCTGTAGTTCTCTGATGACCCATGTAGTATGCCGCTCCTTGAAACTAAATCAGGTCCTCTTGTGGTCTCTCAGGCTAGCTGCTCTGATAAGGTCATCTGTAGTTTCCAAAAGTGTATATTGTTTGCAGTGTGTCAATGTGCTGTGTGTATGCTGCTGGCTAAAGTGTCCTGCTGTTGCTGTGCTCTCTGCTTTCAGGTCTTTCTAACATCCCCTAAGGTTTCAGTAAGTGCCACAATTTGTGCTGGGCAGTCTACAGCTGTCTCTTTCCTATTTAGGCATGCAGTTTTGATCCCTAAAGATATATTTTGATAGCATTGAGTCAAATATGACTTTTAATCTATGCTATCATATTCCCATAATAATACCTTGCCCTGCAGTTTCTATCTCATATCTTGCTATGAGTGTCCAAAAATTACTTATTTTCACCAAGTTTTGAAGATGCTTCTTGTACCTAAGTTTGTAATGGATTTCTTGTACATGACTTAAAGCCAGACATTCTGTTTCATGTGCCATTTTTTTAACATCTTAACATTTTAGAGAAAATCCCATGCTTAGCTAGGAATTTGTGTACAGGTTTTGTTACTCCCTACTTGAACTTTATAAACTTGCATGTGATTCTCTTTCCATGCCATTTTTTACTTTATCTAGGAAGGATATTATCCTGAACTTTGTGCCCTTCTTTACCTGTCAGTTTTCTTCAAGTCTTTAGCTTAAAATTTCTGCCAAAGGGTGGAGATCACATAAATGAATCTCATGTACTACAAGAATCTAGCATTCAAAGTGTGAGATCAGATTTATGATGCAAGGGGCTTTGCAGAGTCTTATTTTGGTATAAGGAAGGCTTGTTTCAGTTAATCAACCTGTTCCTTAATTGATTAAGCTGAAATAAATCTCTCTTAAATTAAAGCACGTGCTTTTGGCAATGCTTAATTATATCAGATTGAATTTGCACTTGAAGTTATATGGGTAAAAGTTTGCCCTGGAGGTGAGCCTAAAGTTACACTGAAATTGAATCTGAAATTAGTTGGCATGTGATAACTATGACCTTTACCTCCACCTTCTAAGATGATATTGGAGGATAATGTGTGAAAAATGAAAACAGATCATTATACTTGAACAGGAAAGGGCAGGGAAAAAGGAATATTTCTAACTTCTTACTTTCTAAAATGACTTTTTTCAACTGAAAAATTTTGCATATATCACCAGGTAATTGTTTTTGTTTATACATATAACTTGTTCTGTGAGAATGTATTTCTCACCCTATTAAAATAAAGGGCATCATTCATGCTGTTTTCTGTGACAGTGTGCTCAGTCTCCACTTTTCTGTTATTCCCTGGGTTTCACTGTTTTATAGTCAGTAAATGAAATCCTGCTCATCTGAAATCTATATGTAAGTCTAGAAAATCTAAGCATGACTCCAGGAATGCTTTTTTTTTTCTTTTTGAAAATGCTCAATACATGGAAAATGCTCAATACATTAGGTGAATAATTATATTTTGTTAAGCACTTGTGCAAACAAAGATCAAGCTTTAAGACTTACTTGCCATATTGTTTCAGCTGATTCACATAAACCTTTTTTGGCACTATTTCAGGATAAAGCAGGAATGGAATTTCATACTAGAGTGCCGGAAGAAAGGCATTCCTCAATCAAAATATCTCAAGAATGGCTTTGTAAACACTGATGAGAAGATCTTGGACACTTATGGAAAGACTCCTCAGCTCCGGAAGAGGCATACTTTGTCAGATGAAGCAAATAAGGAAAGAAACAAGTTTATTTTTCAGCTTTCTGGAGAGCAGTGGATGGTAAATATAATGGAAAATATGTTTCTATTGTTAAAGAGTTTGGGTAACTTAGCACTGTAACTTTTAATCCCCCAACCCTTTTTTTTTTTTTTTTTTTTTTTTGCCAATGCATATGAAATTGATGCTTTTTCACAGTATTAGAAGTGATAAAAACATTTCCTATCTTACCCTGAACTAGTGGTTTAGTTTTCAAATATGCTTATTTTAAATTCTCTACTGATACATGTAATTTAGCCCTCTCAAATATTTTGGCATAAGCAATCATATTGCAATAAGGTATCCTTCTCTGAAATTCCCCAATGGGTGGAAAGAGATGAAAATAATATTCAGCTTTGTTGGCTTGTTGATCTCTTCTACTCAGAGATCTGTCTTCTTGCTCTAATGGTGTGATAACATTTTTCTCAAGCTCTGTTCAAATCAAAACTAATAATAGCATCAATCCACAATGGTCTTGCTGAAAAAAGTGCTTTTTACTTGCAGTTGTGTTTGATGTGGAATAGCAGTTTGGAAGTGAGCTCTAAATTAATCTTGTTTTGAAATTCAGCAAAAGGTGAATTAGTGTTGGTCTGAAGTTTTCTAGAGTTGTTAAAGCTTCGGCTGATCTGTATTTTGAATATACACTATTTTGTTAATGAGAAAGAGAAATCAGAATTCTGACTTTTGTATAGTTTATAATTTTGAAACATATTTTTGAGATTTTCATTACAAAAAATGCAAGTTAAATGGTCAATCATTAAAATGGCTAAATTTTACTAAAACAATTCTTTTGATTGACCTGAAACATAACTTTGTCCCAGATTTGATCTTGGATATGAAGGTGTTTTCTTTTTCAGCTCTTGGGTTTTTTTTTTCTGACTTTAGTTCTTTGTTGAATAAAGATAAAACAGAGGAAATTTCTGGAAAATAGGAAACCCTGGTTCCCATCCAGCTCTAGTAAGGAAACTATTTGTTAAACTGATGCCAATCATTCCTGTGGTAGGGTTGGTTGCTGGAGAGCTATCACGTCTCATCTTTCAAGAACCTTGCATATTGAAAATTATGTTAAATCTGTGTAGTCTTATACTGCACACTTTCCTGTGTTGTAAACTTTGTAGGTACCTTAGGAGGAAAAAAAGAGGTATTACAGCTCCTTAGACACCAATATAGTAGCAACTGCAAATATTTTCAGTGCATTAGGGAGCAGAGAGCTGCATAACTAAACTTTTCTGCTGCTTATTCTCTTTTGCCAAACTGTTAACATTGTGCTTTGTCACCATAAAGAAGGCTTTACATTAGGAGGCAAAATCAAACATACATAATTTGCTCTATTTTCCGGAGCACTTAATTTTAATTTGGCATGCTGAAAGATCACACTTAAGAGATATTGGTGTGCTGTTATGTACATTATGCCACCTTGAGCAGTACGCTTCTAGCCACCATGCACTTTGATTCTGTCTCCATATCGTATGCTCACTGTGGCCGTAACACACAATCATTGTACCTCATTGTCCAGCTCTAGCCTGGTTAAAGTGGGCTCCCTGTTTCAACAAGATACTGTGACATAGTTCAGGTGTCTGCAGATGAAGATAAAATCAAGCTGCTTTATTTAGGGAAGACCAACGCTCCTTCAAAATCAAAGAAAGAACATTGCCAGTCTCCTACAGCTGAAAATTATTGAAAAAAAAGTGAAAATCCACTTGATGAAGTCCTGAAAGAAGTGTATTTCGCATTATTGCAGAAAGTTAGTAAAAATTATATTGGTTATACAAATCATACCACTTATTTTACTTTTTTAAATCTCAACTGCTGCTTCTAAACCAAAGACAGAATCACACATGACACTCTTTCCCCCTATTACTTTCTCACAAAAAAGTGCACTTAGGCAAAATGAATTTACAGACTATACAACCAAAGCTGCACAGGCTGGCAATTTGCATGTGAGAAGATCTGTGGACATGTGACAGTTTTCTCAGACAAGCCTGTATGTTATGTAGCTGGGCGCTGTGCTATCAGTTGTGGTATAGTTTTTGTAATGTTTTGCACACGAGTACATCTATGAGTTGAAAGTTTGGACAATTAAACACTCAGACTCTAGAAGTCAGAGCTGGGATTGCCTGTGAAGATTGACAGGCACATAACCAGCTTGGTTTGCTGTTGGCTGACCACTTACCGTTGGCAGCAGCTAACAGCACAGCTCTGTGAAGTGTCCATTTGGGAACTAGCTGCTGAATCCTCTATCTCACTTGCTTTTAGCTGATAAGTATTTCTATTATGTTTCTCTTTTCCTCTCATCAATGAAGCAGTAATATATCCTCTAGACAGTTGATAGCTAAATCCGAGTAGGTTGCTGGTATGACTTACAGATTTAATTTTGAGAACGGGGCTTGCTTACGGGCTGTACCAGTTCCCTTTCTGGATGCTGTGAAGTTAAGTCTCACAGAGGAGTAATCCCCAGCATAGGGATTTTTCAAGATCAAAGCAAGTGGCTTTACTACATCCTTCCCATAGGTCTCAAAGTAAAGGCTCTCATTGGAAACTTCAGCAGCAAATGAGCTGAGTCCACAAATCAACTAATGGTGTTATTTGCTGTGTTGCAGTAAATTAGAAAGGTAGCTTGTGTTGGGCACTAATCAGTGCCCAGGATGCCTAGATGGTAAAAATGTAGACATGTTACAAAGATGCTATTCTCTCGTGCTCCATATCCATGCCCCACTGGTTCTGCTTTGTTAAGTATGATTTAAAAATGGGTTTTGTAAAACACTCCATCATATCCTGGCATAGGTTGGACAATTGTTTTGAAAATCACCTGGATAGTGGTCTTTTGAAAATAATCTCAGATCTCCTGAGAACCTTTGTAAGGGAGAAAATCAGAGCAGATCACACATCTTGAATTCCTAATAGGAATTCCTTCCTTCAGGACCTCTGCGCCATTTTTTTCCCACCTCTTAAATGTCATTGAAATGATAATATATTTTCATTAAGTGGCGATCCACTGTTCTTTGTACTTGTAAAGTAATTATTTTAACATATCTGAGGAAAGATAAAGTTCATACAACGAATATTAAGTTAGACAAATACAGACAGAGTACAAGCTAAATTGTATTCTGTTCATGCAGATCCATAATTCCTTGTGGATTTTTAATTCTTACTAGTTATCATTCACTTTTAGGCTAATTTTTTGAGACATGCAGTTTGAGCCGCTAGATGTCTCAACCCACAACTGTTTCTAACAACGTGGTCACACTAACTTAACGAAAATCTGAACTACAACACTTAAGTAGGATTAGTATCAAGCCTTTATGCTTGAAGAACATATACTCAGTGAGTCCTTCTGAATCTGAAAGTCCTCCTGTAACTTGGGTACTGGTTTGGCCATGCCTGTCCAGGGTGCTTAGCTTCTGGCTGTGGGCATTGGTTGATAATTGCAGTGATGAGATAATTTTACTTTTGTCTGTCAGAGTTCCACCTGGTAGAGGCTGTGTGACAACAAGTTCAGTCATCCTCGCCTCGTTTTTTACATACCAACTAAATATTTATGGCTCAAGTGTCTACACCCCTGTGTGGTGCATTTCTGCCAGCTGGGAGCAGTAATGAATTAATATTTGTGTTTAGGAAAGAAAAAGTCTTATAACAAATAGGCTAGTCTCATAATCTGATGTTATGAATGAAATCAGACAGGCTTTTCTCTTTTTACAAAAATGGGCAGAAGCCAGTTGTATTGCCCCAGCCGCAAGTCTCCTAAATCCTCCTGTGTTTGCAAAACCCTTGGGACCTGACAGCACGAGAATGGTGTACTGTGCCACAAGTAATCTGAGGTTCCCAAGGCATGTTTCAGAAAAACTTTTTATTTATCTGAGAGTTTTCCAGGCAAACCCACCAAGAAAAGGAACTGTGTAAGGACTTTGGACTCTTGAATTTTATGGTTAAATCAGTTGCCTAGGAGAGAATGATGGAGAGTTGATGAAACACTTAATTGAGATCCTTTGTACATGTAAACATGTAGCTACTGAATTAAATTAGTTCTTCAGAGAAATAGCACTGCTATTAGAGCAGAATGAAAACTGTGGCAAAATAATGCTATGAATATTCATATGAATTTTTCAATGAATTCACTTTAACTCTGTTTTTCCCCTCTGAGTGTTTACTTTCTGCTCCTAACTAATGAATGTTTATTCTCTAGTGGATCCATGAATTTTAAATAATTTTCAGAAAATACTCAGGAAAAACAAATTTTTGAATTTGTGGTATCAATATTGGCAGAGGGAAAGTGGTGATGTTCACTCAAATACCGAGCAGGACTCTTCTTGCCTGTGCTGCATTACCTAAGCAGAGGATCTGGATGCATACCTACTTTAAACAACTTTAATGTCAAATGTGCACAACAAGTAAATGAATGAGCAATGGTAAAATTCTTTAGTCGTAAATCATGACCTTCTTGCATATACCTTTGCCACAGAAAAAAGCAGCAAATTAGTTACTACATTTGTATTTATACTCCCAGTTTTATTGTCTAACATGCTCTGTATTTTCACGATAATTTCCATTTGTTATTCCCACCTATTAGTAACAGTGAGGTATTTATTTGCCACAAAGGGTTAAGTAGAATTGCTTCATTGACTGGACAGAGAAAATCTTTCTTGTGGTTATTTAACTTCTAGAGATTTTTTTTTCCCCACAAAAAGTATTAATTTCTGACCCAGTCAGGTAATACAGGTGGCTCTGAGATATACTGGTTTTGGAACTAGCTCCAAACTTTCTCAAAGATGAGGGAGACTTGGATCCAAGGTTTTGGGTTGACCCATGACAGATAGATAAAACTACAGAGCTGGAAAAGAAACGGAATTGAAACTTCTTAGAGCTTTGATCACAGTTTTAGTTCAGGCTCATGTCTAGCAGGTAAATTCTCTCCTAATTAGAAATAGTATAATCAGCAATGGTTGTAGGTTTGCTATTTATTTCCTTTTAATACTTTTTTTTTTCTCACCCCAAAATCAAAGGAGTTTGAGGTATTGTTTTGCTGTTAAAGGCAAAAGACTGGCTATCCTCCAAGTGTCAGTCTTCATGGAGCAATTTATCAGCAGGCTGCCAGCTTTAGCGTGGCAGCAGCAGATTACAGAAGAACACAAGGGAATCAGAGAGTAAAGCAAACATAAAGCTTGTGCAAATTTCAGTTCCCATCCCTATCTAGTTTGTAAATGAAGTAAAATATCACATCAATTTAAGTTACAGCAACACAAATAAAATGTATTGTAACATGGACAATGCTAAAAAACGACATTATAGCAGAGTATTTGTAAACTTACATCTGCAAATTGTAAATATGATTATAAGATATAAAGAAATAATCTCAAGAAAGAGAAGTAAGTTAGGGCAATTGATAGAAGAATGGAACCTCCTTCCATTCTTTCGAGATCATGTCTGAATTAATTTCAGTTACTGCACAAGAATACCTTGGTGCTTTAAAACACCCTTAATAGAGAAGCAAAGATTTTAAAAAATCTTTTTTACATTAATAATAAATAATTTAAAAAAATATTTTTGCTTAATTTTTCCAAAATTATAATGGAATTTGATCTTAATCTGAGGCAGCGCTTTGTGTGCTGCACTGTTTTCAATGCATCAAGGAGAAGTTTGTGGGATACCCCCTACAGTCTGGGAGAACAGCAAGGCTGTTGGCTTCACAGGGGAAAGCGTTCCCCTTTGCTCCCTGCTGTTTCTGCCAGTAGGGAGCTGGAGGTGGTCTGTTATGACAATGAACTGCAAAAAACCAGTAGGTCAGTAGAACAACAAAGACAGACCTGGACTGTGGAGAAATAGAGTGGCAAATGGTATCTGTTACCCAGATCCTTTTCCCTCCTGTATGACTATTCTGCATCTGCTTTCTCTGTGAATTAGAGTTCTTCCCTACAGTGGCATCTATGACACTCCAGCTAAATGCTATCCCCTGTGTGCTGTATTTTCAATTCTGTACAGGTGGGAAAGACAATACTAATTGAATTTGCAGTTGGTATTTATTCTTTTATTTTGCTGCAGAAAAATGTGCAGCACAGAAGGTGGAGTGGAAACCCACTCCAGAAGTTTGGAGAGATTTCTCATTACCAGCCCTGAGGCATTTCAGGCATTTTATTTTTTAACTGCCATAAACTGACAAATATAGAAGATGGATCACAATGCAATATACACCTAGTGGGAAAATGAAGCAAGAAATGAAACAATCCATATCAAATATGGAAGGGCAGGTAGCAAGGCAGAAGTACATATATAGGCTATGTGTCTACATGTGTAAATTTGAAAAGAACCGAAATTAGAAGCAGCAACAACCAAACAAAAAACATCTTATGATCAACAGTCCACTATATCTTTAATTACAATTAGATGTTTAAATTTAGCTTAGAGTTAATTAGCACTATTCCTAGTTCAGAATTCCAGAATGAATAAAAAACAATTGAAATGCATCACTCTTGTTAATGTCTTAGGGGATGTATTAAATCTAGAAGGGGGGGAAAAAAAAGTGGGCAATGTCCTCTGTATGAAAAACAGTCATTCCTACTGTGTCGTATTCTTCATGAAGAGGAAACAAATTTGGAATTTATAAAGGAATAAAAGGATGAAACTCTTACATCTGTTTTTGCGAAGCAAAGTTAGTGATGGCACTTCATCCAGATTATTTATTCCAGGTGTTACCAATGCATAGTGACATAAAACTCAGGACAGACTGGTAAATTATGTGCTGCTTTATAAAGTGGAGTTTAAATGATCTGACCTTCAACTTTATGAATTGATTTTTGTCTGTTTCAAGTTCAAGGAATTTGGTGACATAATACAAAGAAAGATGTGTACATTTGAACTGAATACCAATTAACTAAAGCAATTTTGTAAGAATTAAAGGCTTTAAAACTTTTAGTTTCTGTAACTGTTATACATTGGAAATTTTGAACAAACAGAATAGTCTGAAAATTACTCAGAAGCAAATTTATTTGCTGTGTGTTTGCAACAGTACTAGAATTCTTAAAGAAAAGGTTTCTGCATGACTAAAGCAAGAATTAATTGCAACCATTGGACAGATTTAAAAAATTGAGTATTTTTACTCTTCCTAAAGAAATTTAGTAAAAAATCTCACACATTGCTGAAATAACTTAGGAAGTTAAGTCACCTATTTAAAAAAAGACTTTCAAGAGGTGATATGTGTGTATCCGATCTGAAATGTTTCTGTTCCTTGGACTGTGTTCCATCTTGGCAAACAAATTTTGAAACACTGGCAGGTATTACAAAAGTAGTCAAACTTTTTTTTTTTTGGGTGGCAAGCCCTATTTAGACATTCTCCATACGCCCACTCTTCTGTTCCATGTTGCATTTTACTACATCTTGATGTGTGAATTAAAGCACTGAAATATGTTTCAAAGAAATCCTCCAGCTGGAAAAAGGAGATGATATGGGAGACACCAAGCAGGTTGAGTGCTTCAGACAGGTTTCCGTTTTAGAGCAAAATGATTGCATTAACAGTTAAAACATGAGCATGTGGTGACAGGCAGCTGCAATGCTCTTCAAAAACAAACAGCTCCCATGAGGGTTTGGCAAACTGCTGTTCGACATGAAGATACTTAAGGCAAAGTCTTGAGGTTTGGCTGTGGACTTTTCCCCCCTGTATTTAGAAACATGGTAGAACAAAATACTAACCTGATGCTTTCTGTTTATCTGTTCTTATTTCATTTACAGGAATTCCCAGATTCTCTGAAAGAACAGACCTATCTGAAAGAATGGCATGTGTGCAATACTTTGATACAAACCATTCCAGCCTACATTGCATTGTTTCAAGATCTGAGAGTACTGGATTTGTCAAAAAATCAAATCAACCATCTCCCAGTGGAAATTGGTAAGTTGGTTCAAGATTTTCAGCTGTTTATACTTACACCATTTAACTATATTGCAGGGAAATGAGCATCCATGGATATTCTTACTCATTTACTGATAACTGTCTTGCTTGTTTCCAGTGAACAGTCCCCTCTAAATTTTTTTAGGTCTCTGGCTGTAATTATACTTGCTTAATTGTATGCAATACCATGTGTGTAGTATGTCTCAAACATGGGAAAAAACTGACACATTTTATAGTTATCTGACTATAAGGCAGTTATTGCTTGTATTGAAGTAGATGGAAAGTTCTTCCTGAGAACAGGTGGTGCTTTATGTTCCCTACAGGTTAAGAAAAATAGAAGTATTACAGAATTGTAAACCTCCGACAAGGTGAATTGAAATATAAGATTGTGGTAAAAAGGAATAAAAAATATGATGTCTCATAAAATCCATCTTTTGAATTGAATTATAATGAGTTCAGTAATGATCCCCATTTAATAAAGTGGTACATCCAACATGACATCAAGCAAATTCTTAATGTTTTCATACTTTGGCCTTTGCTATTTTAAGCTATGTAATAACAAGAGTTTTAGTATTTGGCTCTCCTGTGTTTTCTGATCTTACAATATAAATAAGCTTGTTTGAAAGACTGTAATGGTTTGAGAGATTTACTGCTCTTGCAAGGAAGAGTGTTGCTTGTAACTGGTGGTAGCTTTGAGAGCTGAAGAAACAGGATCCACTATAAGGCCCCTGAAGTCAAGTCCATGCAGACAGGTATACTAATACCTCAGCCTTTGTTTTTTAATGCAGTAGTCCTAAGCATTCCCCATGATTGGTATTCCTTATGTACACTAAGAGCTAAGAACTTTCAAAAAAAAGATAAAGACTAAAACCTCCACCTCCATAGTTATCATAGGTTTAACTAAGAAAAACAGGAAAAGAGCATCCTGAAACACAGAAATCAGTGCTAGACTTTTCTACTCTTTTCTACTCTTTTCCTACTCTATTAATAGAGTAACACTAACGCTTTTGATTTATTTAGTAACATTAGATTTTACACAGAAAATTTCCCACTGACATTGAGATATATTTTATAATTTCAACCTTGCAGCTAAATACACTAACAAATCATAAACAACACACAAAAAGGAGATAATGGACATAAAATAAACCCTAACTATTTTGTCAGCACTTTGACCATGGAACTCAGATGGGTCAGTGGGTTTAATGGAAAAATATTTTCTACCAGGTGCTGCAGAAGAGAGGGGAAATGACAGTTCCCTTCCAGAGGCTACCCTAAACCATTAAACATAAGGTTTTAAGGGGTTGCTGCTTAACAATCAAGGCATGTAAAGGCGAAGAAAGTTTTTTCTGTCTTCTTGTAATGTTGTGCATCATTAATGAAAATGATCCCCAAGAAAAAGTGATTATGAATGCTGATGGAGTCTGTTTCCAGAATAAAGGCACAAAACCAGATCATTCTAACATAACCAATTCTCTGTAGGGGGTAATGTAGAGGCCGTATCAGACCTTTCAAATGCTTTGAGTAGCAATCATTGTTCTTTCAATTGCATTTAAATTATGTGATTTCTGCTTTTTTGCCAAAAATGCCTAATGATTTTCAGTCTTAGTGAATGTACTTGTTGATAGGCCACCTATTAGTAATGCAGTAGAGCTGCTCTTGTTGTTATGGCATAAATTGCAGAGAATTTTTTATCTCAATTTGTTTAATGCTCTCTTTGTTGACATATAAGGTGGTATGCTTGCAAATGGTTATGCTTTTATTTCATGTACTATATATGCATACAGACATAGGCATTAATATGTATTGGAAATGTTCATTATTTTAACAAGACATTATTATGAAAGGTCTTGGATATTTTGAAGTTTTGAATGCTGCTTAAAAATGAAACCTTTCATACTTTAGTCATCTAGCTACTAAATTATCGCAGGGAAATAATCGATGTGGGTTTGGTTTGGGAGCTCTATCTAAGCAAGGAATGAGGACTAGGTGCTAAATCAGAAGGTAAGGTCTCTGGAAAGGTTAAGTGCTAAGGTATTTATCATTCTGTGTTCTGTTTACAAACCAGCAGCAAGTAGGTAAGTATCACAGCTAAAACATACTTGAGAGTAATGACAGATGGTTGAAGTTGGCAGTGACACGCATGCTGTTGAGTCTTTAATCTTCAGAGAGAATTGAAGCCAAGTTTAGATGACAAAATCATCTGACAGAAGCTGACCTGGTGAGCCATGTTCGGACTACTTTTGTTTGTCACAAGAGGGCTTTAAAGGTGTGAGAGAACAGGAGACGATAAGAATACTTGCAATGAAAAAAAGTATTGCTGCAGTAGCAGTCTCTGGACTAAAATATCTGCAGGAACTGAAGTTCATGTTCCTGTTTTACCTGATTTAGAAGGGAATGCTCTACCCTGAATCAGAGTGAAGAAAGAACTGAATCCATTCTTAGATTTTTCAAATCACACTCTTAGCTATAATCACCTATGCACTTGAACAGATCAAATCTGGATCAGAAGATGGATGAGAATACTTTTGATTTGATTCTTTTTGTGGGATAGCAAATATTTTCACAGGAAGCAAGTAAATAAAAATGGAGAAAACTGCAAAATGGAGTTGTTGTCTGTCTCGAAGTTGTCAGGTCTGGTTTTCCCAGGAATAACAGAAAAAGTCATGAGCAGAGGTGTAGCCAGGGGATTTTCTTTGGAAATGGCTTCTGAGTGAGTTTGCAGTTCTGGCTCTGACTGCATGGCTGCAGTGCAGTTGCTGCTTATCAGTTAGTGCTAGTGCATTAGTAATTGCTATAATTGAAAATATCCAGTAGAATATATTCCCATATTCCCATAGGAAGTAGTGAACTGCATTTTCATGTGGTCCCAAAGCTTTTGGACTGGGATGGGATAGTGAGGCTATATGAGGATTTTTTTGTCCCGCAAATTACTCACAAAAAATCGCAAAGTGCTGTTAATAAAATATTTGTAATTTATTATATTATCTCACATTTTTGATATGCCAAATATTTAAGAGGAAAAATAACTGTGCACTTGAGACATATTTTAATAAGAAATCGCAACGATTTTTTTGGTCTCCTCCCTACCTCACAGTATAACTTTTCATTTGTGCATAACATTAATCCAATTTCCTAGAACTCAGACGGGAAAACCATAAGTAAGACAGTTTTAAATGACTACTAGATACCTAAAATAGCTTTTTCTATTAAAAAGATTCCCAGTGTGCTGATGTGTGAGTTTCCAAGAAGAAAATACATATTCTCAGTTTAAATGCAGTCTAGTTCTGAGGAGTTACAGACTCATCTCTTACTCTTGCCATTTATTCAGTATTGACTATTATCTGTCCACATCTCAGTCTTGTACACAACTGAGGAAAAGGGGAAGTATTAAACACCTCTGTTGCAAGTTGACTGTTTTTAGAAGGACGCCAGTTGCTTTAAGGCTAGCTGCTCAAATGATGGCTTGCTCATACTGGAACAGCTGGTAAACTTCTCAAAATTTAACCCCTAGTTAGTGCATCACAAAAGTAAAAAATTGTCTTTTTTATTGGACCAACTAGAGAGGAAATAATCTTTCTTATTCAACTGCTTAAGCTATCAAAAACGGGAATATTGTACTAAAATGTAATACACACATGCTGCTTATACAAATTTCAACATCATTGGATCTTGCAAAGGGCAGTACTTTATTAAGCTGAATTTCTTGAAAGGATTTGAAATAGTGCCATTGGGTACTGAGCTCAGACTATAAACACTGCCATGGAAACTACTCATCACATAAAGTATTTTTGCCAAAAGATTCCTATCTATTGACTTTGCCATATTGCTCTATGTCAATATATTATAAATAACAATGTTAGGATGTGCTCCTTCTACACAGACCAGATTGGTATTAGCAAACTCTGTGGTTTATTTTTCAGTCTTGACTTGGTTTACAGTGGGAATGTTGGAGGCTGTGCACACCATTCTGGCTATGATAGAAAAGTTTTATCTGAGAAAAAGCTTTTTCAGTTTCCAAGGTGATCAAAATGTATTGTTCTACCCTTTCCAAACAGTTTACTCTATGTTTATTTCTGATGCTCAGAAAGTGGCTTCCAGCCCAGAGATTGAGCTTATACTCTACCTTGCCCTTGGGAGATAACTGCCTTTTTTTTGGGATCTTCAGTGAGATCAGAGTCCATGTTTCAGCTTATCTGCTCACATGAAAAAAGGAAGCCACATACTTTTCTACAGAATTTCTGATCTACCAAAATATCTTGAGTTCAGTTTATTGCATTTTTGTTTTCATTAATTTTCTTTTGAGCCTTTTCAGTAGATCCTCACCCTACATTTTTTTCCCGAGAGGTATCTCTCTCTGCCATTCAGGCCACAAGAACTAATTCATGTTTTTCTACCTCTATTTTGCTACAAGAAAACCTTCTTTCCCCCCTCCCCCACACCCTTTACATTGTACTAATAGTCTTCCGACCACAGACCAAGGTCCCAAGCTTTAGCCTTTTTATTTTTGGTTCATAGTAATCACCTGCAATTTCTCTCAGCATGTTTAAATTTTTTTAATTGAGCACTTGAAGGTTGGTTAAAGAAGGAAATTTTACTAGCCTATGGTCAATCTGTTACTGTGCGACAGCTTTTGTAAGCCCTAGTGGCTAAAAAAGCTTTTGCAACTTTGTTATGCAAAAGGAGTTCAGGAAGTCTTCATCCCTCTTTTGCTTGGATGCTTTGAGCAGAAGTAAGGAAAAAAAAAATTGATGTTTTAACTGTGTCTTGTAAGCCTGAACATCAATATCTCCTTTCAGATAAATTGAAGACAATGTCACAGATACAGCAGAGAAGACTGGAAATAGGAGATTATTTGTCTTGGCCCATAGGAAACTGCTATCAGATCATTGCAGGTCAATGCAAAAATTTGCTTTGCATTTTACTCCAGGTTATACAAGTGGATCTGCATTTTCATTAAATGGGATCCTTAGTCAATAAAGGCTCTCCGTAACCTCATC